TAATTTATTATTTTAAACAACTTTATTTAAGATATAAATATTAATTGACATAGTAAAATTTTTGACTTTAATATATATATAGCTACGATTATTGATTATATTTTAATTTTGTTTGGCAGCAAATTCTGATTGGCTAAATAGCAATGAAATATCAATTAACATATATTAAATGCCTTCTAAGTTATTTGGGTCTTAAAATGACTTAATGACTAGTTATTTGTCATTTGAGTTATTTGGGTTATTTCAAGTCATTTATCATCACTGCCATATTGTTTATAATTAATCCAATATATTTTTTCCATACTTGATATTCTTTAAAACCTACATGAGTTGCACTACTTTTAATAGTATAACTGCACCAATTATCTAGTATTGTATTAATAAATTTTATTGTAGCATTAAGATCTGGTATTCCTTTAGCCCTGGTCTTAAAACCGAAGAGCAACAATGCATCTTGTCAAAATTTAATAATTTTTTACTGTGATTGCTCAAAAGTTTTTGCCATATCATCACCAGAAAGAATATTTGTATTATCAATATCACTAAAACCTATTGACTGGACAAGATTATATATTGCTTTTTACTGTTTTACTAAATAAAATTTATGTAAATCAACTAAGGATAGATCCATAGATTTATGTGAATCTTTCTATTGCATTTCTTCTTTAACTTCAGATTTTTTATAGCTTTTGTTGTATTGGAACCTTGTCTTCTAAAATATACCAATCTTCTAAAATGCTATAAAGGTTCAGGATTATTAAATTTTTTTTACAAAATCTACATCACAAAGTTTAATCCAGTTATCATTATTCATACCCAGTTTCAAATATTATTCTTACCTTCAATATCACCTAAAGCATATATTCTATATAAATAATGACATTGTAAAGTCATATTATTAGCAAAAGAATGTTTAGAATTTAGCTTAAGAGTTTCAGCTTCATAGAAACGTATTGATTATTAATTCTGTATCAAAGACTTTAATTACTTTTTGAAGATTTTTAATAGTATGAGAAACTTTATTCCTGTTAACTTTTTCGGCATTCTTTGCTAAATTAACTTAAGTATTGCTCCAGTACTAGCAATAAGACTGCAAAAAATTTCAAAAAAGTATTTAGCTAATAAGCATTTCTGATATTCAACTTCGATATAGATTTCCATTGCTAGAGATAAATTAAGTGCATAACAATCAGCAATTTTATCCCATATATGCTGGCCTTTTATTATTGTTGATAAATCTCTAGGTCTTAATGCTAAAAGTTTAGCCCAAATAAGTTCCCAACATGGTTCTTTAAAAATATCAAATTTTTTGCTATAGTAAAGGAAAACTATATATAATAGGCAGTTGTGAATTCTAAATAATATTTGAGCAAATACTTCAACATGGACCAGAGTAGCAATATTAGTAATTCCTATAACTGCATCAAAATAACCAGATATTTTAAAAAAGATACTAGCTTCCACAGTGTTGTATAAATTATACAGTCAAAAATACTTCAAAAGTACTCCAGGTAGTATTGATATTAGCAAAATCATCTTGATATTGTTTCCTATCCATTTAGCCAAAATAAACTTATGATAAAATGAATAAACCATTAGGTTTTTGCAACTTAGATACTTGATTAGCTAAGGCTCGAGCTTTTTTACAGAATGTCATAACAAATATAACATGCTTACCTTCTTGAAGCATTCTAAGATCCCTACATATAGCTTCTGAACCTTTATTTTAATCATAAAGAAATTTAACAATCTCCTCTTTACATGGTTGATATTTGTTATCAATAACTCTAACATTTTTGCCTCAATAGGACTTTAAAAAAGCTAAAGTCGAATTGTTTGCAAAAGCATCCATAGCAACAATATGAGTAGCTATATTTAACAAATCATGCATAATATTGAAAGATTCTCGAGCATGAACTCTATTAGCTATTTGATGCATAGTGGCATTTGCTTTATCTAAAATTGCTATACAGGAACAACTCCCTTGAAAATCAAAATGAAAAATATCTTCAACTTGTACAATAATAAGATCCCACTCACGTGTCTTTAGATCGGCTACAATATTCTAATACTGCCCTACTTTGAAATTGAACTTTTCCAATTCTTTAAGTTTAGCTTCAGATTCATTACTAAGGGTTTTGCAATATGAAAACCCAGATAGTACAAGGTAAATTAGCACCACTTTGAGCTAAAGATGCCAAAATTTTTCTTAATATTTTTGTTTTTTCAGTACCCACTGTAGATCGAATGAGAGTTGTACTAGGTTTTTATTTAAAAAGTTTGAAAAAACATCTAAAGCATTCTCTATCTCTTTTACATTAATACTTTTTCCAAGTAATTCAGGAAATTGATGTGGAGTTAATAGAGCCTTGGATAATCTTTCGCATAATCTCTACTTCTTGGACTTTTCTTTCAATTCAACTTTATCTGATATCTTATTGAAGCTAAAGCCCTTGTAATCTGGCTTGTACTGTTTTTGCTAATAGCACTTGAGTATAAAATATTTATTTTTTTGAATAAATCTATAGAGTTGATTCTTATCATGTTTAACTTCACATATAGGGTATTCTTTAGAGTGAAGCTCATTATTATATAATATAGATTGTGCTTAAAAATTAATAAATCTCTTCTCGATCCTTCCAATCTGGAGCTACTCATATTTTTCAATAACCATATTAACTCCTTTAACCAAGGTATTCTCATTGTTGATAGGTTGGGATTCTTTTACTGACTCTTTGGAAGAAAAGGTTTGTGGCCTGATTATGAAGTAATTCTCTTTAGGCTGAACCAGATAATCATCTAAATTTTTAAATCTGTTTTTAACAGAAAAAATGGCAGGTTTTTTTATATGATCTTTCTTTGCTGATCTTAGAAGCCAAAGATTAAAATGTGTTTTAGAAATGCTAATATTAATAAATTTTGAATAAGGTTCTCCAACTAATTCCATAACCTTTTTTGTGAATCCCTTAAGTTCTCTATAATCTATAAATTAGGCACAAAGATAAATAATATGCCAACTACATTTCTTAGCATTTGATGAACTTGCTAAAGCAAAAAAATTTAAAAAAGGCATACATTCTGGAATAAAGCTTAATGCATCTGTACAAGCAACTAAAATTCGAAATAAAAAATTATCTCAAATAATTTTTTATCGTCTAAGGAAGGCTGTTTAGGATTTGTAAAATCAGGCTTTTGCCTTGCATCAATATCATGTATTAGACGAAGGGGCTAATTTCCATCAATATATTCGTGAGTATTGGAAGTTTCATAAACTTCAGTAGAATGATTGATTACTATATAACCTTTTTCTGCTACTCTAATTATATATTAAAAATGAATCTTTTTAGGTTAGTATATATTAAAAGTGCTATATCATTTTTATCAGTATAGCTATTGAATGAAAGCAATTATTTATAATACATATAATTTCTATAGCCAGGTTTATAGTTAAAATCTGTTAAACCTATGAAAAGCTTTTTTGCTTTATTATATTGAGTAATTTCTTGGCTTAAGCACTGTTGTTATAAGAATTCATGAGGATGTTTTTTTGCTTTACTAAATAAACTCATTTTATTGATTTATATATATGCATTGTTTGATCTGACAAAAAGTATATATAGTAATATTAAATTTGTTTATATAAATTTTGTTACAAAAAGTTTAATTCGAAAAATAACTATTTTATATATGCAAAATTGAAAGTTATTAATATTAGCTATGGGATTTTATTCTTGCTCATATATTTTTATTGATGGATGTATTTGTGAAAAATGTTGCTATCATTAAAAAGAATGTGCTCTTTATTGGAAAATTTGACTGTGTACTCCATATAGTGAATGTGGTATGCCAACTACTTTTTTATATAGTATATATGTAAAACATTCAGGCAAATATTGTAGAAGAGTCAATTATTATCAGAAAAAATAGGCTGAATTACATGCAAAAATTGTTATACTTGAGAATCATATACCTGACTTATCTGACTTACCCAATTCTATACATGAAATATAATCATATACCTGGTATACATGTATATTGATTATTTTTCTATGACCTCTTTATGTAATACTATATTCTCTTTAATTGCATTGATATTTTTGGTAATTTTATTATATAAAGCTATAGATTCCAAGTCATAACTTGTTTGTATCCATTTTCTGACAGAATTACAATAACTATAACCATGCATAGATATATTGACCTAGAATAATTAATTTCGATTTAAAAAAATAAATAGATTAATATATAATTACAATCTACTTATTGATATATTATTTACATACCTATTATGGCAACTGTCCAAAAAACTAGAAAACCCAAAACTAATAGCTTTACCTTTATTTTGAATCAGATTCTCAATAAATATAACCTATTGGCTAAATCAAATCTGCATTAATTATATACTTATTCCAATAAGCTTAGTACTATGTTACTAGATTGAAAGGCTTTATAAAAATATAAAAGAAGCTCTTTGCTGATGCCTATTCAAAAACAATCAAATAGAAGCTTTTGTATCAGACAAAAGGATGAAAAACTTACTATTAAAAAAAAAGTTTAATATGCAAAAACTAAAAATATGTGGGATATTTGGTTACATACTTTAGACTTAGTTATGCTAAAAAATAATACAGATAAGCAATTTTAGCAGCTAGTTCTCACACTTTGCAATTTTGTAAAGAGTTGGCAGAAGCTGGGATTGGTTCTGAGCAAATTGATATATATGCCAAATTGTTAAAAGTTACTCGAGCTTTTAATGAAATTCAAAAGAGCCAACTCGAATAGCAATTATCCAATCCACCTAAAACTTCTAAACACTTTCCCTTAGAGAAAGAACTTAGAATACCACTAAAATCTCTACTATGCAAAATTTTGCAAATATAATTATGATGTTGAGCATGAAACTTGCTAAAGTTGCCACTCTTCATATTATCTATTATGAACTCGGTAAATCAAATTTTTTTAAATAGTACAAGCCTGGTTATTCTTGGTATTGTATCAGATATATTAAAAATAAAAGAGAAGCAAAAAATAATTCTGAACCTCAGCAATTTCTATTCATAGAAAAGAATCCAGAATATGCAAAAGAATTGCTTACCTGGATTCAAAATGCAATAGCAACCAAAAAGTTACACAATCCTGTCTATAGTATTAGTGAAAAATGCAGTATAGGAGTATTTAGTAAATTTTTAAAACCATATGGTATTACAGCCAAAAGATTAAGAAAAATTAGAGATAAATATACTTCTAGAGTTTATATAGTCAAAATCCAACTTCACAATATCTCGAATTCCTTAGCAGAGCTGCAATAAGGCATAAGATAGACCATTTTGATTCTGGAAAATATTATGCTGAGGATGATACTTCAGATTCTAACCTTCACTTAAATTTAGAGCCTGAACTTAAAACTCTAGCTTCCACACTCAAGCCAATTAATGAGAATATTTCCGAAATTGATGATATCTATAACTTATATAGAGGTATCTAGATTAGTTTATAACTTATCTATTTATTCACTATAACCCAGCTTCATAATTAGACTTATTAGATATTTTTTAAGTAAAGTTATATATGCAAACCAACTTACTAACCACACTTACTCATAAGTTAAAAATTATCCATAATTGCTATTGAAAATCTAGCAATCTTGGCTCATACTTATTAAATAAAAAGTCTAGTTAATAAAATTCACACATTTAATATATACAATAAAATATATATATATTTAACCTACTTATACTTCCAGATACTATTGCTGAAATCGGCTCAAAACTTTCATTAGGTAATCTAGATAACTATACAGTCAGACCTCTCTAAGTGCACTTCTCTAAATGCATAGATTATGTAAACTCTCTCTAAATGCATGGTATAGTCTGGTCCCAACTTATAAGAGCTCTATATATTTTTCTCTCTATAAATGCACACCCTCTCTAAGTACACACTTTTTAATTTTTTTTCTATGATCTCGAAGGGATGCACTTATGGAGGTTTGACTGTATTCAAATTAACTACACATGGTATAAAGAAATTTGTTATGAACTTTATAAGAGGCATAAAAACTTTAATACAAAATACTATGATTTATTGAAAAAACTAGACAAATGCTATAGAAAATCGAATATAAATAATAATGAAATTGAGCTTATATATAATAATACATTAATAACATTTAATGAGTTTGTAGAAGTAAAAAGGTATTTATTAAATAAAAATATGATCTTTAGTAAAAGAATTAAAAATGCAATATTAACCAATATTAAAAAAGATAATTATGAAAACCCATTAGATTCATATAATTTTGGGAAAGATACATTTGAATATATAAAATATCTCTTCTATTGTGAAGCAATAGCTCTTTGAGCCCATGTATATTAGAAAAAAATATAAATAGATATTTAACAAAATTTATTTATTTAATGTAGTAAGAAGAAAGCTAACCTATCTATCTGCTATATATATTTTTTCAGTTGGCTATTTGATCGACTTTGCATTCAAACACATACTTCGATTATGGATAATAGAAATATATTATATAAAAATCTGTTAGTCCAGATTGTGATCACAAAATTAAATTATGTCACATTATAGGGCAAAGCTCATTGCAAAGCAATAATAGGCCTTAGAGGGCAATGCCATGTGTAGGCTTAAAGAGGTATAATTTAAAGAAGAGACAAAGTCTTGAATCTCTGATTTATTGCCTAATAACTTGCTTTGTAATAGATTGATATATTAGATTTGTGTAATTAATATATAATAGTAAATCAAATTTTTTGTACAATGTCAGACAAGGTTCAACATATGAAAATCTTAGTCTGGGTCATGATTTATTAAATCACATATGATAGCGATATTATGTATATCTTGGATGAATCGATCGATTACTATAAAATAATACCTGAACTTATCATGTTTTTGCTCAAACTTTTTAGCATATTTGCAGTAGCATATACATAGTACTTGGTCTATATATCAAAGTTTCTATAATATAAGTTAGTCTTGCTACTTCTACTTATAAAATAAAATAAATTTGTCAATAATTAATTATCCCTTAAACCATCTAGCAGGCAAATTTGCCTGCTAAAATTATTTTTAAAAAGTTTTTTTGAGTTTTCTTAAA